AAATTTGCATTTTAGTGAGTCAACATATGCATACCTACATGGTCAGACATCTTGACCTAAAAGTCAAATTGTAAGTCCTATCTTCTAAATTAAAACAATCTTTCCTACTATTCATAGGAATTGAGACTGGACTGCATGATTTTAAAAGATGTTAAGTGGGTTTAGCTGGTAGCTCTTTCCAGAGCAGAGTTGCAAATCCAGAAGTCGGGCCAGCTTATGTCTCACGTGAGGTGTAGGTATGTAAGTTCCTTGCACTGCGTTAGACTTAAGTTCAAGGCACTACCCCTGGGTAGCCCTCACCTTAGCTATAGGATTTGAGTCTGTTGTTGACTTCCAGTCACTTCATAAGCACTCATATTTTGAGCATTTTCTTCAAACTGTGTTATTGGAATATAATTCCCAACATTCTAAATCAAATTGGCCAGCTTGAACAAAAATTTAATTTTAAAATGTAAAGCTCAATATAGAATTGTTTAAGTACCTTTAAGTTTCCTCAAAATCAATTACTCCTACATTTTATTCATTTGACTTCCATTCCAAAATCTGATTTAAAGTTGATCTCACTATCCTTGAAATTCTTAAAGACCAAATCTTTAAATAAGAATTTCTCAAACTTCAAAAAATGAAAATATTAGCCAATATTTTTTATAACTCTAAAAAAACCACTAGTTTAATCAAAAATATTTAATATGCTTAAGATGTAATTAAATATAAAAGTTTGCCCCTATAGGGCATCTGTATCCCAAAATAAAATAAACCATATTCAATTAAATATGAAACAGGAGAAAATCTCAGTTAAAAATTAAAATTGTGAGTTTTGTTATTGAGACCATAGTGAAATAATATTTTTGTCCTTCGAGATAATATATATGTCATGCTCGATAACAAAATATCCCAATCTATTGAGGATGGTAAAATTCCTTCAACAGGGTCGGTGCATAAAAGCGTGATTTATTTGGGGCTTTAGTTTAGGAATTTAAGTTTTAATAAATATATATATATATATAAGGTGAGGTATACGCCTCATGCCAGCGAGGTGAGGTTGGCCTCAACCAAGCTTAGGTGTAAATCTAATAAAAAAAGCTTGAGGCATAAACCTCGAGCTATTTTTCATTGGGGATGTTACAATTAGTACCTTATGATGGATAAAGACCTAGACATACATACAAGATATATTTTAAGATTAAAATAAGAAATTTCATGTTAAGAAATAAATGAATATTTTGAAAAGAATAGTCTCGTATTGATATCTATAAGCTTGACTAACATATCATAGACTATAATGAAACATTGAAAAAATCTTTTAAAATTTTCTTTAAAAAGATAAATTCAATAATTATTATATCATGGTGGTGCACTAGATTCGTCTATTATTATAACTTTAAACTCTTCTTTATAGATCATGATTAGCATACCACAGTGTTTCTTTTCCTTAAATGTTTGAATAGTATTAGAGTTTCATCTTGTTGAGCTTCATAGCTCACCAAATATTACACTGGTTGCTATTTCAGATAAAGAAAAAATAAATTTAGCCTAAGTTAAGATCAAGTTTTGAATCAACCACCATATATTTTGATATAAGATATTTGCATCTGATGAAAGTTTGATGTTATGAAAACTCTTTAATTGAATGAATAAAAATTTTGAAATGCTTCTGTTCAATTGACTTGTGTTAATCTTTGAATCTCTGTGAGTTAGGAATCATATGATACATCTTAATCATGTCATTCAAGCAATTGAGTTGAATGACAAAATTCAAATTTTCTTTAAAAAGATAAATTCACTGTTTGTTATATTACATTCCTATTCAAGCAAATTCACTTACTAATTATTACAAGTGGTGCACTACATTAGTCTATGATTATAATTTTAAATTCTTATTTACAGATCATAATTAGCATACCATAGTGTTTCTTGTTCTTAGATATTTGAATCTTGTACTAGAGTTTCATCTTGTTGAGCTTTATAAGTCACCAAATATTACTCTAATTACTATTTTAGATGAATATAAGAATATAAAAACAAATTTAGCCAAAGTGAGGACCAATTTTTGAATCAACTACCCTATATTTTGAAGTAGGATAAAACAAATTTTAAGTATTTGCATATGATGAAAGTTTGATATTATTAAAACTCTTTAATTGAATTAATAAAAACTTTCAAATGCTTTTGCTCAACTGATTTGTGTTAATCATTGAATCTCTGCGAGTTGGGGATTGTATAATACATTTTAATTGTTGTTCAATTAATTGAGTTTATCACTTACCTATTCTAGTGGGTAGAGTTCTAAATGGGTGTTGGTGATAAATGCAAAAAGCAGAATCACACCCACTTCAGTTACGCCTTACATTTGACTGATAGTTTTCATCATGGGGTGTGACACCTTTAGTGGGACTTCCACCTCAATTTGATTACTTTTTATTTGGATAATTGACCCATTTTTGATGTTGTAATGAGAGTTATGAGATCTCTTATTCCTTCACCTTCCTTGTGATTTCTCTATTTTTCCCTGCAATTTTAACTTATTTGTCATCTCTCCACAATAGGATTCACAACCCCTACTCACTCCTTATGATCTTTGTTTGGGTTCTGGAGAGTTGAGGCGTATATGTTCTGTGAGTCATTGGCTATTCTACCGATGTTGCTCCGTAAACCCTTGTTATGCCGTAAACCCTTGTTAGGCGCTCAATTAGTATGAGGGTTCTCAAATACTAGTCTATTTTTTTAATAGTAATTTGAATGACATGTTGTGATTATAATAATGGGGGTCTCACGCATGTAACAACATCATATTCTAATTCTACTAAATTTCTACTTTGATGGAATGAATTTTTTGGCTGAATGAAATTCCTTGTGGCCTTTTCCTAGTGCATTGGAGATTAAAAATATCAAAGAGAATTTATCTAATTGTACTAGTGTAAAGACTAAAATCTTATATTTGGTAATCTCTTATCTTTTTTACTCTCATTCCATAGTTTTAGTAAATAGTTTGATTGTGTTGCATTTTAAATATTTTTCTCTTAATTGTCGAATAATTAATGAATTGTTCACAAGTTTTGATGAATTATGCTATCTTTTTAAAATACCATGCATTATGTTTTGTAGCTCAAGAGATTGTTGCAACATATTATTCTATACAAAATTAACAAATCTAGCATGATGCTAACAAGTTAGAAATATTAAAAAAAATCCTAGTATTACTCAAACTTTAATTGATCAAATTTGACGCAATATCAAGAACTATCAATCAATATTATGTATTCTTCTCTTTTTTCATCTCCTCTTTAAAAATTTACATCCAACATATTATTTACAAGACTCAAGTTCTCATACTAATCTTAACCTATTATTAGAGATGACATAATATTCATTATTGATGATGGATGACAAATATATTTTATAAAATGGTACAAAAAGTTTAGAGGTGTTATGACTCATTAATTTCTCTATACAAAGTGCAACAATTATGGCAAAATTTGTATGCCAAATATAAACAATTCATCAGAATCGAATATCTCCAAGCCAATGTATTGATGTTGAACTTATTTAACAAAACTTTAGGCTTTGTTAAGTTTCTCACTATTTAGTTCTCATTGTTGGATGTAATCATATTTTATTCTAAGATTTCTCATTCCTTCAGCTTCCTTGCAATTTCTCGACTCCAATAATCTATCATTTCGACTCTAGTTACCTATCATTTCGGCTTACTTACGATTTCTTTGTTATGGGATTCGTGAATCATTCGGCTTGCTTTTTGCGATCTTCTTTGCTACAAGTTTTCTTCCTCTAGTTCCTAAAAATTTGGTATATAGTTTTTATAAGATTCCTTGGCTACCCAATTAAAGCAATTATAGAATCCCTTTTGGTTCGCTTAATTTAGATAATGTTATCAACTCCTGTTCTATCTTTTGAATAGTAAACTAAGGCAAGTTTTGTGATCATAAATATATGGACCATGACACATGTAAGAAATACCTATTTGGATTCTATTTGATTTCTACTTTGATTAAATGAATTTCTAGTGGGTCATTCCTTCAAGCCTCCTTATAGTGCAATGGGTGATTGATGATTCTCCAAAGCTAACATATTATATTAACATGAGGCTAAATTTTCTATTCGGCAATCTCTTATCTTTACTATTATTTTCTAATTTCTAGTTATTGATCCAATCATGTGATTAAATTTTATTCAATTTGGTACTACTACAATCTGACTTCTAAATGAAGCCTAAATTTCCAATCAAACATAAGATGTTTCACACTTTCTAATTTCAATGCAATATTTCCAATAGACAGCTATTAAATTATCATCCATACATTTTTTAATTATTTTTGTTTACATTGTGTGCACGTTTTTGTGCAACTTATCATATAGATCTGTCATAGAAAATCCTAGACCATAAAACATAATGCATCAGTATCCCGTTCACATTAGTTTGATCAACCCCCTTGGTGAATCTTTTGACCTTCATTGGCATGCCCAAAGCACCAAGCATATCTTCTACAACTCTATAGGTGTTTCTCCCACATCTCTGAATGATTTATCATCCAAATAGCTAATTTATTTCAATTGCAATTGTTGAGTGGATTCCCATACATATGCAAACCTGACCTTTAGTTTACAATTCAGTTAAAACCCTTATTATTTACTATGCTCCTTTATAAGACTTCTTTTCTTCCATCCCTTCCCAAATCGGCTCCTTTTCACTGATTGTTATAGACAGTAAAAAACAAGCATTATCCACTTTGCTAAAAAACCAACTAGCTAAAGGATCAAAGGAATGAAAATTTATTCAGCAAAATAAAAGGGCTCCTCCATCCTATCAGTTAAAGTCATTATCAGCCTAATACAAGATGATATGCCCAAAATAAGTTCATTACTTCATTGTGGACAATAAAAAGGCATATTCCACATCATTGTCTTCAGAAAAAGTATTTAAATAACGTTCTTTTAAGGAAAAAAATAAAGAGTTGATCAAATTAAAGAAGCATCTCGAGTACCTCTATTACTTTAAACCCTTGCTCCCTGGCACAAGCATATATGGCAGCAGATTTCCCACTCTGCGAATATAGTACAACTTTCAGTAATAGCTAATGGGTTTCACAAAAATTTGAATCATTTCTCACCCAACAAAATCCAAAAGCAGTTACATACTCCAATTGGCCCTGTAATCAGCAGCACATTTTTTGGCGAGTCCCCATAATCTAGTTCATCCATATCAGACTCATGGTCATAAGAACTATCTTCACTATCTTCAATAGTGCGGTGATTTCTATGATTTCCATTTAGAATGTTCTGTACAACTCTTTCTTGCCAAGATTTCAGCCATTCACTAAGGAGCTTCACAGATTCTACATTTCCACAAACCTGGAGACCAATATAAAAAGTCAACATAGAAAAGATGAAATATAGTTTTCAATATGAAGGATGCCAAACAAGAGAACCATGCAAGCAGAAAACGAGGTGAACATTAAAACCTATCATAAATTTCATGGAAAAAAATTTACAGGTGGCCGACCTCTAGAGAAATTTCAGGCCGGTACTTCTCAGTCCATAAGCTGCAATCCGTGCAACAAATACTGCGTTTAGAGTATGATGCCAACCTAGGTAAAAGGAGGAAAAAAAACATTTGAGGATGAAAAATAATAATAAGGAATCAAACCAACGATAGCCAATGATAAAGAAAGATAACAATCTAGGTAACCATCATCATGTATTACAAAATGCAGATAAAAAATTTGAACTATATTAAGGGACCATATGAGAATAGCAAAGGACAATAAAAAATTGTAAAGTGTTGAATAACCTTGCCAAAAGAAAAGGCCAGAAAATAAAAATATATTATTTATTGCCAGCATTTTCCTATATATATAACTAAACAATGCAACTACCAAAAAAAAAGGAAACTGAGAAGTGAATATCCTCAATTAAGAGGATATAGAACATTATAAATATGCACCTTCAAATTTAGTACTAGCACTTTACAATTTAGTTATTTTCCTACAATAATACTCGCTCTCAAGCTGGAGTGTATCTATCCATAAGTTATAGCTTATTGTAAAGATTGAAATAAATGAAGAGAATATAGAGCTTGGTGAGGATAACAACTAAATGTTCTCCACCAGCATAAGGAGTCATAATTGTGGGCTCCAAAAATTCACACTCCGGCTTCTCTGCGCTTCTTTATTAACGGGGAGAGTTTTAACGGATTTAGGTTTCGGCGTAAACTTTTAGAAGGAAGATTAGAACTTAGACAAGACACTACCCAGAAATTTCGCCCTCATTTTACGAGGACTTTATGATCTGAGTTTTGGTTTCTTATAGGGTATGATCTGAGTTCTGGTTTCTTATAGACACAAACATCTATGGTTAATTACTCTTCTCAATAACGAGAGAGAACTTTCAATTAAGACTAGTCATTTAAATAGGTCGCAATTACCTAGCTTATAATAGCAACAATGGTTTGAATTTGACTTTGGGTTTTGGAGTTTATGACTTGAAATTGATCACCGTATACTTAAAGTCGGTGATGAGCAAATGATGACGGGATGGATCAAGATCACATGGTTTTGTAATCTAGGGTTATCATGGTCCCTAATCTACTCAGTCAAAGGAGATAGTCGACCCAACCTGACAGAAGTAACCTTGTCGACAACCATGGGTTGCTTCGTCCAATGAAGCCTTATAGACTAGTGATGGATGTTTGTCAAAGGTGATGAGTTTAAGTCAACCTAAGATAGTAGAGAACTCTATATCATATTAAGCGTACCTTATAATTCATTACTTAAAGGGCTTTTAACCATTAGAGAACATATGAGATTTGGTCGTGATCGCAATAGTGGTGCCATTTTGCAGCAAAATCACCCGGTCAGAGGACACCTATTACATTCCTGCCGGCAAGAAATCAATTGATAATGAATTATAGTAATACATTCAACAAAACATCTGCTCTTTGTGAGATGAATTTATTCTTCAATTAATCATCCTCTCCAAACTGTTGCGAAGTATGGATGGATTTTAATTTTTAGTTTTTGGCGATGGATTTCATTTTTAAGAGTTTAAATTCTTAGTAGGATTTGAGTTTAAGTTTTGACTAAATGACTTAAGAATTTTGAGGGCATTTTTGAAAATTAAATAGTTCTCCGGTTAAAATTTCTTATCGACATGATTATATAGTTCAATTGCGATAATATCATGTTTACCTAAGCTCCATTAAACATTCATGTGAAAGTTTAGCCAAAATTTTTAAAATACTAATATTGATGTTCAGTATATAGTATAAACTTCAAAGGAAATAAAGGTTAATGCTAAATATAATTTTATGTTGTTTTATAATGGCAAGTTTGATTCATTTATGATTTCAAGGTTGTAAGTTTTATAGTTATGCAATTTAATTGTTATTTAATTGCATAACTTATGGAGCCTCATAGCTCACCAGTTATTTTTTACTAGCTATTGTTACAAGGAAAGAAAAGAAAAAACTGGAAGCAGAATAGGTTCAAGTTTATTTCACTTTATGTTCTTATGTTTAGAAATATTTGTAAGTCTACATTGGAGGTATGTAAACTATTCAGTGTTTTTCTCTTTTGGATTCTCCTAGTGGCTTTGTACATATTTATGTGATGAAAGTTGAATTAATTAGATGCTTCCGTGTATTTGGTAATGTATTTGTGGGTGATTGTTTCATTCAACTAGGACATTGATGAGAAATGGTAAAAGTAAATAATGAATTTTATATTCATTTCAGTGGCACTCCAATTTACTGTTAAGGGGTATCATGGGGTATTATAAAAGTGGTATCAGAGTAAACATTTAACGTTTTGAGAATTTAATTACGAAAGTTTAAGCAAATTTAATTATCTAAGAGAATAATTTTGGATCTAATGGAATTATTACAGAGCCTAGGAGAGTAGTGTTTCTAAGTTAAGAATAAGTCTAACTTTTGATTATGATTGAACCTATTAAGATGTGAATATTATTATAAATATATAATTCTTAATGTAATGCATTGCAGATATAATAGTTAAAAGAATACCTGAAGGGACTGATGGTCAGTCATCTCAACTTGATAAGTTGATAAGGCATCTAAAGGTCCTGAACATGTTGCACCAGTAGAAGGCAGTTCACCCAGTGTGAATAATGTATCAGTAAGATCTGATTCTACTAATGTAATCTCAAGGAATTTGATGCAAATGCAGATGATGGAAAAAATGCAGTTTATGGAGGGATCTACAACACCTAGTCTCCACCTGTAATTGCACTAGTCACTCCTACAACTCTTGGTAGCAGTGCAAATGCAGAGGCAGATGATCCTGTTAGCACAGAAGTGGATAAACATTTAAAACTCTTCCAGAGTTTAAACCACTATTGTTTAAAGGAGTCGATGCCAGAAGTGCTGAAGATTGGATTGTAAGGATTGAGAAAATTTTGAATGGAATGAAATGTCCTGAGAACCAACGGGTATCTCTTACTATTTTTATGTTGGAAGGAGAGGCAGTAAAATGGTAGAGAGTTCAACATCTGGAAAAATTTGGTGGTAGAGCAGAGGATCAGATTACTTAGTAGGAATTTGAGCAAATTTTCAGGAAATGGTATGTTCCTTCATCAACAAGGCAGGTAATGCATGAAAATTTTATCAACCTAAAAGAGCCAAGATTGTTATTTAGTATGAAGCAGAAATTATATCTCTATTGATGTATGTTGCACAGCTTATCAATACTCCTACTGAGAAAGTGTTATATATTTTTAAAGGGTCTGAGGGTTTCATTGAGACGGTCTTTAATTCCACTTCACATAAATTGGTTGAAAGTGCTAAACTAATGGCAAATGATATACAGGCGGACAAATAGAAATGGGAGACTAATGGTACAAAGAGAAAAAATGATCATAAGAGTGGATCATCAAAAAGACAAAAATTCCATCAAAATCAACAACAACAATCTATAAGAGTCCCTGCAATATCAGTTTGTACAAATTGTGGAAAGTCTCATCCATAAAGATATCTTGTGAACTCCGAAAAATATTATTTGTGTGGAGAATCATGACATATCAAGAGAAATTGTTCTAAGAATGTTCTAGGAGGCAGATAATATATCATATTTTATAAAATATGACTAAATTTTTTTTATTGAAAGAAACATTTAATAAGATTTTTTAGAAAAAATTATCATTATTTAAAAATTATATTTAATAAATATTTAATTAAAAATAACTAAAATACCCTTACATTTAGCATCATTAACTCCAACATATCGGATATTAAGACAAACAATATCTCATTTTAAGGAGTTGAGGGATCAAATTAGAACCTCGAAATAGTTGGGGACTATTTTGATCCCTCACAAAGAGTCGAGAGACCATTTTAGTCCTTCTCTCATATAAATATGTGGAGGAAAAATGTGTTTCGAGCCACTAGGCAGTAGAGGGATAAATAGAGGTGTATTTGTAGAAGAAGAACCAAAAGCGAAAGAAGGGTAGGCCTCAAGAAAAACAACATCGATCAACACATAATTTTCCCACAAAAGTTATTCTTTTTTAAGTAGAAGAATAACACAAAAAGATGCACCAAATAGCACGATGAGAGAGTTCATCATTATTTAAATGAAAGGAATAGACAAAATATAAACATCAAAAGATGTGAAGTGTTAAGTGAAAAAGTTTTATGGGCATAAACTATAGAGAATGGAGTAGCACCGTTTAGATAAGTAGAGGGCACATGATTGATTAAGTGAATTGAGTAAGGATAATATCCCAAAAAATTGATGAGGAACATGCAAGTGAAATATTAAGGTGCAAGCAATATCAAGAAGATGGTGAAGCTTATGCTCAACTACCACATGTTCCTACGATGTATATAAACATTAGGATAGAAGTATAATGACATACTAGACTTAAAAATAGCAAAGAGAAGATTGCATAAAATCAAGGCATTATCCATCTGTTTGATTTGAATTGAAAATTATAATTTTATTTATTGATAGAATAGTTTGAATATAAATAAGACCTCTGATCAACAATTCAACAAGTAAGAAAATGACACTAATATGCCCAACAATGGAGACAAAAAAAAACAAGATGATTAGTTACAAGACTTGTTTTCCATATTTAAGAGTGAACCAAGTCAAATTGGGCACTACTGCATGAGAACAAGGGCAAGGGAAAGCACACATTATGATATTTGTCAATCGCATAAAATTTTGACACAAAGGATGGCATTTCAGTTAAGCTTCAAAGATGCTTAGGAAGATGATGATCGAGACAATAACCCCAGTGATCCAAGGAAAATAAATTGGCCAATAAAATGGGCAATATTGAGGTAATAAATATTACCAATTTCAACACTTCCAAGAATCATCTTCTACATGTTAAGATTATAAAATACAAGTAAGAAAAAATGATATAGAGCTATATAGATTTATAGTTAGATAATGTATTTTAAAAAAAGATTGATAGAAAACTATGAGACATATAAAACATTTTCTTAAGTTAAGGAGAAAAGATGGGCATATTGTAAAACCAGAAAAATGTCGTTTTAGACCTTGCACGCGTTTCAAAGTGCCGAGATGAGTTTTAAGTGAAAAATTCAAGGTTAACGGAACTCAAC